CTTTGCCCCCTCAGCAACCACCCACCACGACCAGTCCAGGAGTGAATCCTAGCATCCACAGCCCGGCCTCTTCCTTATCACCCACCACTAAGTGTATGTTTTCCAGGACTGCCGCTCGACAACCGGTTCTGCTCCATATTCCTTCACCTGGTTGTACACGTATTTTCACTGTAAATTCAGCTACCTGGGTCTGTCATTTTTTTTACTCGCTCACCTCCCTACCAGAGCGTTCCTAACAGATTGTTAGATTTTATAGTTACTGTATGTATTAACTATATATAGGCCAAAAGCTCTATAGTTCCAGGTTCTCGTAGGTGAAGATCTACTGCTTGTCTCTTGCATTTTGGCAAATTTATATATTGATATTTTATAATTGAGTTTCTGACTGTCAGTCAGCAGAAATTTGAAGTCACGCCTTGTTTCTAGGATACTGTCATGGGCACTTTTTACTGTTTGATTAATAGAAAAACAAAACTTTAATTGGTACTGTACAATTTTACCAGTGGAAACGTATAAAATAGAGCAGTCACCTCACAGAAGGAAGGTTCTGGGTTTGAGCCGCTGCCTTTCTGTGCAGTTTGCATGTTCTCTCTGTGTTTGTGTGGGTTCTCTCTGGGTACTCCAGCTTCCTCCCACAGTCCAAAGACATGCAGCTTTGGTTGACTGGTGACTCCAAATTGCGTGCGTGTGTGTGGTTGTCTACACGTCAGCCCTGTGATAGACTGGTAGTCTATCCAGGGTAGACCCCGCCTCTCACACAGTGTCAGCTGGGATTGGCTCCAACCCCCCGGACCCTCTTCAGGATAAGTGGTATAGATAATGGATGGATGGGAAAAGTCCAAAATGTCACCATGTGCTGCTCTGCAACCTGCAGGTAGGTGTGTACCCAAATGGAAAGAGCAGCTGCCCAGAGTGCATAGCCCTCTACTTCCACCTGATCTCAGGCCCCAACAATCACACACTTACCTAAATGGCCGTGTCCATGGCAGCAGGCAACCATGGCTTTGATGGATGGACATCAGACAACAAATGAGCATGCATCGAATGGTCACCACCGGACCTGATGAAGTGAAGCAAGCCGAACTGCTATGTACTGTATTAGTAAATGGGTCAAACAGAGAATGACTGCTCATCTGTTTCTCCCAGGTACTGAGTTCTATTGGGGTGATCCCAGGAAAGTGGGCTCTAAAGTGACTGAATCTGATGGCAGCTATTATTATCGAGGCCCAGGCTCTGGAACACGTACATTCATCACCCACAGCAGACTGAGGAGCAGGAACTTCATCAAAGGAGATGACGCCTTCTCCCTCTTCAGTCTGGATGGTACAGAGTCATTATCACATACATGACTATACTTTATATCCAAGTCTCATTGAGCCTCTGAAACACTTGGGTTGTTGTCGTCTTGTCCACATATATATCCACCTGCTGCCACTTCAGCCTTTGCATCACTCTGCAGTGCATGCTGATGTCAGCGTAATGATGGCTGCAGGTGCCAGGTGTTAGCACCTGAAGCTTTTTCATGTAAAATCTGATGTAAGAAATAAAATCTCAGACAGCATTCTCTTTCACATCCTTTGTTTCCATTGTCACAGCGTCTCCACTACAAACCAGGTTCAGGTGACCCTAACCATGTAGAAATTGTAAAGTGTTTAGAGCAGTTTTGTCATTTTTAGTTAAAAGACTTGTCTCACACTATAACTGTCTTGTCTTTAGCGTTGTGGTCCTGCAGCAACTTACTTTTAAATTTCCCTGGAAAGCATCGTTCCAGTTTGAAAAGCTTTGTTCCAGCCATGACTGGAACGGGTTTAACTCGGTGCCTTTACATTAGATGCAACACGTTCAGTCTGTGGTGACTTAGTGCATATTTTGTTTTACAAGTGAAATAAGTACCACATCTGAACATGAAGATTAAATTCCACACTGGGATGTCAACATTTCAATTATTTTAAATGGCCTATAACTTGAAATACCTATGGCTACAAAATATATAGCAGTGGAAAAGTAGAGAAATGCAGACTTCATCATATTCATGATCTGCTACTACAGTCTTGAGCTGTAACTTGCAGTAAAGTTAAAACAGTGCTGACGATCCTGAGGGCTCCGTTATGTGGGGAAAGAATTGCTGGGTGTAGTACCAGCGGGTGCCACAGAGTGGTAGTACAGCCAACGTTACTGCTCAGTGAACAGTGTTGAGTGACAGGTATGGGAAACCTGCACTGACCTTCATATTAAAGCTTAGTAAATGTTTCACAAGACAGTTCCTTCCCCCAGGTTATTGCACTCTTGAACAGCTAGTCTATGTTTGCTCTTTTAACTTGTGCTTTTTTTTAAAACTTGTATATATTTTGTATCAAACCTGCATTAACATTAATTATCTCTAATCACTGATAACATATGTAGGTTATATTACCAAATGGGAAAATGGAATGAAACTGTCTGAAAATCACTGAACCACTTTCCTTTTCCTTGCAGATAAGAAAAATGTTAAATTGCTTTATGTGGATGATACGCTGCTTTTTATTTCTACTCCAGGAAATCATTAATATTTGGATCTTTTTCCAGGGCAGTGATAGTGAGTCCAGAGAGTTCAGTTTCAGCAGAAATGGTCTCATTGTGGACATTAGCAAAGGTCATAAGTAGTGACTGTAGGAGAACATTCAGTCTTAAAACCACTAAAGGTCTTTGGGAGAAAATGTTACTATTTTAACTTTGTGCATTAATGAAACTAATATTAATAAAATAGTGTTTGTTCCAAAGAAAGTGGGTCAACAGATATAACTCAAAGTATGGAATCTTTATTGTTGGCAACTTCTGAAACCATGAGCATTAGCAACAACACGTTAATGGTGAAACATAATGAGATAGAAAAAGGCAGGCAGACAGAGTACAGACTGGGAGCAGTAAAAACATCGTGAGTCAGTACTGGGAACACTGGTCTCTCCTCAGAGTCTCTGAGACTGGACTCTGGGAGCCCCGGGTGGCCTCACAGGTCACAGAGCTCATCCTCCACCACTGGTCTGCAGGGAGCCTCAGGGTGCTGCTCCAACTGTAGCGCCCGTCCTTCTCCAGCACCACAGGGCTCCTGTTCTCCTCCCAGCTGCTCCTGCTGCTGCTCTCCTCCA